TTTTTTTTTTTTTTTTTTTTTTTTTTTTTTTTTTTTTTTTTTTTTTTTTTTTTTTTTTTTTTTTTGTAAGTTCATTGGTGAAAAGCCCCTTTCAACCACTGCAGTGCTCCCAGACAGAGAAAACATCAGTTCCACCATGCGCAGTATGTTGCTGCATTTCGAGATTAGAGGGTCATTTTAGAAGTGAGGAGCTAGACTCTTGTAAGATAACAAAAATTGAAAATATATCACGAACATCAATGGGAAAATGGCCGTCCACGGGGACGTTGGATTCGAGAAATTTGTTGTCCGCGGGGAATTTTTGACCGTCGAGGACGGGCGGTTTTTCGAGCCCTGGTATACAGTGACGTCATGAGGAGAGAAATCGCAGCTTCAGCTCTAAGAGCGGAATGAACTAGCCCTTCTATTCTCTTTAGCCCTGATCCTCAGAGCCACCGCGGCTCTGGAACAGGTATTGGGAGGGATTTGGCTCCGTGGAGGACTTTTTGATGTAACTAACCCACATTTGCATTACATGAAATGGGAAACCTCCCACGGTTAGCCTAACAACAAGGGGACTTAGATCAAGTATTTTATTTTTATAACGGTCGTTGAACAGTTGACCCGATTTTGGGTTTACGACTACTAATGTTCATTTCCATAGCCTTGTAATTTTGAACCTAATCCAGAAGACAAGGGAACTTCGGAATCAAGTATTTGGAGAAATTTGCATTCATCGAGAACTTTTTGATGAAACTAACCCGCATTCACGTTACATGGAGAGGAAAACCTCCCACAGTTAGCCTGGCGGCAAAAGGAACTCTAACCCAGGATCTGTCAACCACTGAAAATATCTTACGCCAGCACTGTGCTTGGGGCGAACCGGGTGCAGAATTCGTCACTGTTTCCCAAACTTATGACTTTTGTGTATCGTTTCTAAATTTTTTCGTAACGCTGTGTACCACTAATTTAAAAATTAATGTATTTTTTACTATAAAAGAAATTGCACAAAAGTTAAAAATCACAACTGGCTGTTGATACCACTAATTATTAACTGTTAACTCTGCAAAAAAACTGCAATAGAAAAATACATAATCATAAATTTTCATGGCTAACTTTGTTTTTTTTAAAAAAAAAAAATTTAATTTTCGTTTGTTGTAAGATATGTTCCTCTAAACTTTTCCTGTACTCCTGGGGGTACGCGTACTCCTGGGGGTACTTTGGGAAGCACTGGATAGACGAACCATCGTTGGCATTCGAACCCGTGTACCTGATTAAGAGGCGAATACTCTAACCCCTAAGCCACCACAGTTCTGCCTTGTCCTATATGTAAATGTGACGTACTAAGCAAAAATTTCGGGGTTCAATTTTTTTTTTTTTAAATATGTGCATTGAGTAGATATAAAAATTTCAGCTATTGCTAAAATCCCTTGTAAACAGTATTTAAATTATTCTGATGAATATTGAATACTTACGATGTTTTGAAGTAACCGATAAAATCTCATATCTGCAAATAGTATGATTGCGACTAGTATCATTGTTCACTGATTGACATTCTACTACGTATCTGTCATCTTTTAGGACCTCGCATGCATCATCCTCTAAAGAATTACACACATGGCATTTTAGTGCTTCACCTGGAAATGATAAAAGTATTTTGAATTTGAATGGAAAACACGAATGAATAACTAAAAATCCAGCCTGTAAAGAATTTTTTTTTAGTATATATTCAGTTGAGAATTTTTAAAACTGAGCTAAATGTTTGAACTTTTTTTTAAAAAGAAGTATTTTAGTGTATCCGAGTGTTTAACAGATCTGTTTATAAATCCAAACTATGTATTATTTAAAAGGCAGCGAACAAAATATTTATAAGAGAAAAAACTATTAAAACTTGCAAAAGTTTTAAAGTATTAGACTGATTTTTTTTTAGTTTCTTGGCGAGACACCGAGATAATAGCATTTTACTTCACTACCTAGAACCCAGGGATAGCTAATCTTCCACAGTGGGAAGAAACCGCGCCAAAAGAAAGATGTTTCTTCTCACCAAAGGGGAACAAATTCTTTTTTAAAAAGAAATATCAAATATTAAAACAATTACTTTAAATAGTTAGTAGTTGCAATCTAGTTTTAAAACTTGTATTGATTTTCAAACTATTTGTTATATTATTTTTCCTCATTTTTTTTTTTACATATTATATCTATGCAAAAATTAAAACGCAACAAATAGAATGAAAAATAAATTGAATGAATTTCTTAAAATATTAAAATTACTGTATTCTCATGATTTAACTCAAATAAACATAAGAAAATCTTATCTAATTTTCCAACAGTTAAAATGTCTTAAAATTATATTGCTACTACTAAATTTACAAACCATATACTAAAACTATAAATGCCCTGCTTCAAATTACATATTAAATTCACAATCACAAATAGTACACTAATTTTTATAATTAAAAACCGTTAGGAAGGAATACCCAAACTTTTTCTAAAGTAATATGATTTTAGCTCTGAAAATTCTGTTCAAAACTTTTATAAATATTTGGAAAATAGTTCTTTTTTTTTTTGGGGGGGGAAGGAGTTAATGCGAAAAACTTTAACATTTTCTGATATCATATTATTTTTAATTGTTAAAACTGCTAGATTCTTATAATAGTTATCCTTATTGCTAAACAATTATATTGGTCATTTTTGTTTCTTCCATTCCGCTCAGTTTCATCCCTTTTACCCGATTTCTTCCATTGTCCTGGAAGAAATAGGTTTCTTCCCGACAAAATATTCGCTCCCCACAATTCGTGTAACTGGCTTAATATACCGAGTGTTAGCATTAACTATATGTTCCTAATTTCTATTAAAATCACCTGTCATTACGTTATATTACTGTTGCTGAAAAAATTATTATTAAATCAATTAGTTAATTGGAGTATATAAAATTTTCATATCAAAAACTAATTATTTGAATTGTAATTTTGCCAAAAATCTACATTTTCTTATGAATACAGATCATACGTTAGGGATATATAAAACCACATTTAGTTTTATTTTCATTTTGTAAAAACAATGAAATTTTGACTGTTTTTTTTCTTTTTCCTTAATGATATCAAGTTACTTTAATCTTACATGAAAGAATTAGTTTAAGTTTGCTTTAAAAGTCTTTGTGATATACAAAGATAATGTGAATAATGTAAAATACCCTGGTTTATTTATTTAACAAATAATAATCTTTAATAAAATAACCTTTACTAACTGATAAATGTAAAATATTTATTAAACTTAACATTTTAAATGTTACTCACTCTTTCAGATACAATTAAAAGCTTTCTACTCCCAATGTTTTCTGTTTTTAACTGAATTTAGGTATAAAATTCCACACAAGGCAAAAAACTGAAAAATATGGTAAAAAAAAATTCTAAATTTATGTAAACAGTAAACTGGTTTTTTTTTTCATAAGCATTAATATTTATAAATTTTTAAAAAAATGACTAAAATTACTTTAATATAATATAAAGACAACTCTATTAAAATGTTACAATAAATACAATGCTTCAGGAATTAAAAGGAATAATTTTAAAAATGTATGCTTCTAATTGGATTCAAGATTTAAAACTGAAAATTATAGTAATATTTATGGTTTCGTTACCTTCTCTTTTAGCTTTGTTAGTGATAAGGGTCTTTCATGTATTCTCCAATTTTATTCCCTTTCTACAATCTATTTTATGCTCAATTTCTTATACTTCTTTTAATGAATTTGTAAAATTGTTTCAATTATCTTTGAGACTCGCTATTCGTTAATAAAAAATGTGTCAAATTAGGAATTAAAGTTAGTGCTAATTATCTCGGTTATGATTTCATTTTGGTTTTAAAGAAATTATACCCAGAAATGTATATTATAGTCAAAGCAAATTATAGTATTGTTAGATTGTGGTAGTTGCGAATTAATTTCCAAAATTATAACTTAATTCTTTTTAAAAAAAGTTATGATTAATACTACAAGAAAAATTTCTAGTTTATTCCATTTAATTTTAGTTTCTATATGCACTTATAAGGACCTTCCTATGTAAAATTTTACTATGTGAAGTTTTTTACACTCGATTTTATGAATTAATAATAGTTGAGTTACATGTTCTACCTGATCGAAGTTGTGATATGAGCAAGCATAACGATTTGAAAAGAGTTGCGCATGCCGTTCATGAGCAAGGAGCACAACCCCCAAACACATGAAAAATAAATTTTTAGTTGTTTGACTAACAAAGGAAATATACATCTCGAAAATTCCTATTAAAGAGCAGGTTTAAAAACCATATAGAGGGTACTAATTAGCCGTCTGATCTGAATTTAAAATATGCCACATTAAAGTTTCAGTTTATTTACTTTTAAACTAGCAAAACCTTTCCAGCTGTTGCGCATTTGTGGTGTAATGTTTAGACTGTCTACCATCTATCAGCGAGTTTCGGTTTCCAAATCCCAGTTGCGACAAATGAATTTTATCTCTAATTTTCTTTTCTAAAAAGGTAAATAACTATTTGATGTGCTTTATTTATTTATAATTTTTTTTTTTTTTTAAAAAAAGAAAGGAATAATGGACATTTAATTTATTTTATTTTTTAATTAAAATAAATGGGTTATTTTTTTAAAAAAATTTCAAAATTTAGATTTTAATTTTAAATTACAAAATTTTTTAACTTAATTTTTAGAAAAAAAGCTTACAAAATTTTAATTTACAAACTTGTTTAACTAAACATTTTAATTTAATTTGTAGTTTACAATTTTTTTTAAGATATCCGTATAATTTAATTAAAAAATAAAAACAAATTAAATATCTTAATTTTCTTGTTTTTGAAAATTTAAAGTTTTTTAAAAAATAATAATTTATAAATTGAATGAAAAAAAATTATTAAATAGTTTTAAATCTTTTTATCTTAATTTTCTTGTTTTAAAAATTTAAAGCTTTTTGAAAAATATTAATTTATAAATTGAATGAAAAAAAACTATTAAATAGTTTTAAATCTTTTTAGGAAAATAGTTTTAAATATTTTTATCAGATGGGATTGGAATCCTTGATCCCTCTGGTAGACGGCGAATTGCCTAATCATTACACCACGATTACACATCGGCTGTTAACTTAAATAGAACATATACCTAAAGGGCAGATCTGGCAGCTAATTTGTAAATACAAAGTTTACAAACATTATCTTTAATTTAGGCTCACTTTGTTTTAATAGGAATTTTCGAGCTGCGTACAATGAGATGAGTGAGCGATAAGCTAATTGAAAGGGATTATGACATAGAGTTTCAAGGGTTTTTCAGCAGTATATTGTGGGGTCAACTAGATTTTTTAACAGTGACTTCTAGAGACCCTTGGAATTACCCTTCCTGACACTAAAACTTTAAATCTATTACTATTATTTTTGTTATGAAATAAAATTTTTGAACAGATAAAAGTTTAAATGAAGCAAAATGTTTTTTGAATAAGATTTTGAAACAAATTGAATTATGAAGTTTCAGGTCATTAAAATTTAAATATTCTTTACAATTAAGAAAAATTTTAAAAAGGACTTTGTTGAAAATAAAGCATTTTTTACCATAGCAAAATTTTTGCAAGCATTTACAAAAAAATTGGAATTGAATATTTATAAATATATGTCCAATGTGCCTTTGATAAATTAAAATAAATCAAAAAATTGCATTTAAGTAAAATTGAGTATTTGTTGATAATTATTTTGTTTTGTAATTTAAATAATTATATTTGTTGAATTAATTACAAATTAATTATATTTTTTGAAATTAATCTTACCTGTTAATATCATGGAAAGTAGGAGGACAAGAACAAACGTTAAATTCTTAAAACAAACGTTCATTTCTAAGCTTGAAATAAATGCAAAATAATTTTTTTTCCGGTCAGATTATTAACTAACAATCACACTCTTCGTTCACCAATGTCCTGTTTGCGTACTTCGTTTCTCAGTAATCACTTCTAACTCAGGAAGTGTTACTGCAGCTATAAATTCTTCAGTTTTTATTGTTCCAGTTATAATTTATGCTTTTTTTTTATGAATAGTATCCTTATATGCATGCATCACACCTGTTAAATAAAGTAATTGAAAAGCTCTCTTTTTAGCACAATAAGAACAAGCTGATGTTCGAAGTTATTAGACAGCAATGTAACACAGAATAGAATTAAACAGATGGTATTGTGTTGTCAATCAATAGCACCCTCTAAATCACATGAATCACATTCAACTAATGAGTAGTTTATGTTTATAGAGATGCAAAATATGAATCAAAAACCTTTCCCATGAATTGATGAGTTGATTCTGAGAATATTATTTCATCGAATATATTATAGATTGGATCGCAAAGAGAAAAAGCACGTCTTTTCCATAAGGATATTAAAATTTGAAAAACGTTTTTTTTCTTCTAAATTTAAATAAATTTGCGTTATGATGAACTTGAAAGGTTAAAAGCAAAAGTTTATACATACATTTAATAAGACTGGAGTTGTATCTCTTTAACGTAAGTTGCTCTTTTCTAATATTTCAATAACTGATATTTTTAACTATAGTACTTTTTAAATGTTTCTTAACACGTTGAATGCCACGCTAATTTTGCATGGCTTGCCCGTCCGGCCACAACGGTA